TACTCATAGGAAACGGTATCCCGACACTGCAGGAAGTTAAGTCCTGGCTCGCTATGAAGGACCTCGGAGAGGCTTCCTATATTTTGGGAATAAGGATAGTGAGAGACCGCAGTAAGAGACTAATAGGACTTAGTCAGAATACTTACTTGGACAAGGTACTAAAACATTTTATTATGGAGAACACGAAGAAGGGAGAATTACCGATCCAAAGTAATGCCAAGTTGAGTAAGACTCAATGTCCGAGCACCGAAGCCGAGATACCTTAAATGAGCCGAGTACCTTACGCTTCCGCAGTAGGCTCAATTATGTATGCTATGACTTGTACTCGCCCTGATATGGCCTTCACTTTGAGCATGGTCAGTAGATATCTAGGGAACCCCGACAGAGCACATTAGGCCGCAGTCAAGAATATCCTTAAGTACCTTCGGAGGACCAAGGAATGGTTTCTGGTTCTCGGAGGGAGTGATGACTTAAAGGTGCCAGGGTATAGCGATGCCAGTTTCTAGACCGACAGGGACAACTACCGTTCGCAATCGGGCTGGGTCTTTACCCTTAATGGAGGAGCAGTGACTTGGAAAAGTTCCAAGCAAGAAACCGTAGCCGATTCAACGTGCGAATTAGAGTACATTACAGTGAGTGAAGCATCAAAGGAGGCAATATGGTTGAAGAACTTCATTGGAGAACTTGGAGTTGTACCTTCCATAAAGGAGCCTATGGAAATTTTCTGTGATAATGAAGGAGCGGTTGCCTTGACCAAGGAACCGAGGGATCAAGGTAGATCTCGACATATCGACAGAAAATATCACTTTATTAGACATCGGGTAGAAGAAGGACTCCTTATAGTTAAGAGGATATCATCGGAGGATAACCCAACAGATCCGCTTACGAAGGGAATAAGTAGGGTTAAACATATGCAGCACGCTAGGAGCATTGGGCTGAAGGATGATGTTAGTTTGGATTAGATAGTTTAGAAATGAGTAATAGATAATTATAATTGACATTTGATGATTAAATAAAGGAGTGTTATTTTTTGGTATAGTAATTGTCTTATGTTAATTGGTTGACTATTATTTTTCTTTGCATGTTTTGACTTCTTGAATAATTGAGTTAATTAAGAATAATCGAATTATTCAAATGGTCCACAATCGTTCAAATGTTGGAAGTAGGTATAAATGAAGACTGTCATGAATTGGTGTGTAGATTGTATGAAAGGTATTAGACATAACAAAGCTTTGTTACAACATTCATAAGTGCTTATAAATAAGTTTTGAGCATTGGAATAAACCCGCGCTTGCTAGAATCATTTCATGGAATCTACCACGAGTGATCGCAAGATGATAATATCATATGGTCTTAAAACCAAGATATATGGTTTATTGGTTTCTAATTGATTGTACATTGATAATACGAAACCACATCAGTAAATTGATGTCATAAAACACATTGTTGTGTATAATTGATTAGTGAGTAGTAAATGCATATAAGTCGAAGTTTACCTATTTCTTTTATCCTAAGAGGGTAAAAGCAATATCAGGGCTTTTCGATGATTTTGATTTGACTTATGTGCCGGGCCCGGTCAGGACTGAATTGATGTGTTCAACTAATTTCTATGTCAAATGAATCTTAGATCGAGAAACTAGCTATTGGACAATAAGTATGACTATGTTCCATGAGATTGTCCGCACGATATCTAAAACAGAGGACGGTAAGATCCCTTATCTAAAGGACAGGTTACTGATAAGATCAGAGTTCGATAGAGTCTTTGAGAGCTACAATTGCTAATCGAGTTATAGTTACATTTGTGGTTACTAGACTTATCCAAGTGGGAGACTGTTGATTTAGTGTCTAAGTCCGTAACCATATTTAGTAAGTACTTGACCCGGTTGTGCATAGTCCTTTTGGGTTGCCTTCACCAAAGTAACTTGATTGGAGAAATAATAAAGAAAGAGGTTATTATGATTTATTAATATATTATAGGATTAATATATTAATAGGAGAAATCATATTTGTTTAATTAATATTGGTCAATAATTAATTAAGAGTTAATTTTGTGATCAAATGTAATTAATTAAACTACAGGGGCTGAATTGTAATTATATGATAGTTGCAAAGTAGGGCGATAGTTACCCTAGAGATAGGTTGGACGAATTCAAGGGATAAGGATCCTTAAAATCGTCCAAGGATAAGGTTTTCAAGGCTTATCTTATGGTTACTTGGTGGCCAAGTAACTAGATAAGGATAAGGACTGAAACCCTAATCTATACCCTATATAAAGACCCCTAAGGCTAAGGAAATCGACCACTTGTTCCCCAGGGTCCCTAGAGCCGTTTTCATCCTCTCTCCTCTCTCTCTCTCTCTCTCTCTCTCTCTCTTGCCTCTCCAATTTCTTGTGGTGTTTGTGAGCCATTAGAGGTACTACACTTGTGGTACTTGCTTTCAAGACTAAGAGATTGAAGATTAGTGTTGTTATTGCAATATAACAACAAGAGGTATGTGATATACTCTTATATATAAATTTCGAAATATATACATGCATGCTAGGGTTCTTCTTGTGTCATAAATTCGTGTATCTAATAGAGACAACATAGATCCAAATCTAGGGTTGCATGCACACATATGATTGTTTGTACAAAACCCATCAGAAGGAACTTCTTGGAGAAGTGTGGGAGTGTTTAAAGGTTTTGGATCCAGGGTTGTTGCATCTTGGTCTACATTTAAGGGGTATAAAGTTTCTGCCTTGATGATCTTATATGCTAGATCTAATTCATGGAGTATTTTATGTATTTTGGAGTCTTTGTGTTATAGATGGGTTTTTGATCAACTCCAGAAGCAATGAGTGCTAGATCTTAGCTCCATTCAGTCCCGAGGTTCATAAAAATGCAAGCTTTATGGTGTATTTTGGTCCATTCAAGCATTAAGACCTTTGTTAAGTCCTTATTGAGCTTTCGAGTCCCCTTTTACCATGCGAGCATGTAAAGTTGCCAACTTTACATGATAAATAGTCTTAAGGAAATTGATCTGAGAGTTTGACACTTTGTCTTAACTGATTAAGGACTTATTGGAGTGAAAAGGTGGTTTGAGAAGTACGCTCAACATAATGTTGAGCTTGTGCATAATGGACTTGTACAATATGCTTCATTGGTGAGTATGCAGGGCGTACCATTCGGGTACGCTGGGCGTACTCCCCAGTGTGTCGTTTTGGGCTTTTTGAGGTTTGGGTCATTGTTAGGTTTTCTTAGTTGGGCCTTGTAGGGCCATTAGACTTTGATGTTGGGCTTTTGATTTGTATCTTTTGAGCTCCTTCTGATTTAGTCCCATAATGGGTTTTGGGGCCCAATTTGGAGGATTGGTCCATATTGGGCTTTGGAGCATCATTTAGGATTTGGGCCTTGGAAGTAGCTGAGTTGGGCCTTGGCTTTAGGCCAATCGAGTTAAGGGTTAGAATGGTCGGTTACCCTGGGTTTTGGGCTATGTAGCTTAAACTCTCGGTTATGTAGCTTTGACTCTCGGTTACCCTGGGGGTAGTCGATAGCATTTTAAGGAAAGACCATAGGGGTAGCCAATGATACTTGAATGTTAGACCATGCGGGTAGCCCATGGCATTTCAGGGGAAAGACCACAGGGTAGCCCGTGGCAAATATATGTATGATATGTGGTATTTTGGGGAATTCACTAAACTTTGTTCTTACAGTTTTCAGTTTATGTTTCAGGTACTTCTGTCTTCACGAGATAATTGTAGAGCACACACCACTCGATTCCACATTGTATGATTCACTCTGATTATTACGATGTATCGATAAAATTTAATTACTTAGTTTTATGACAACGATATGGTTAAATTTGGTTACAACCGGTCATAAGGGTAAAATATGAACAAATTCAAATAATTCAAATGGAAATTAAATACGAAAAAAAAATTCAATAACTAAATATAACAAAACTAAAAATTCGTTACCATTTCAAGTCATTATCCCATATTATAATGATGATAATCTTTACCTTTTAGTATATAAACTCTATCATAACTATCAAGGATCACCAATAGGGTAAAACATGGTATGAAATTATTCATTTTTTCTATCTTGTTCAATCTATTTATATATTTTTTAACGGCTATGTTAGTATTTGTTTGGGATTGAATCCAAGAACTTCTAGTTAGAAACTTCTAGTTAGACACATTGTTAGCTAAGTGGGCTAGCTAACTTGTAATTAAATTAATTTATAATTACATATTAAAATCTACTATTATTCTTGGTGCCACGTTAAATGATTGTATGCATCTATATCTGTCTCTTCTACTGCTACTTGGTTTGTTTCCTCATTGGCTTGGTCTATTCATGTTCTGGTGATCTTTTGTTTTGTATTTCGTCTATTTGTATTGCATATGGGAATAAAAAGCCACCTCGTTTTTTCAATAATGATCTGGTTATATTGATTAATTTTGTTACGATTCGATTTTTTTTTTGTTTTTTTCAATAATGATCCGGTTATATTGATTAATTTTTTTTCAATAATGATCCGGTTATATTGCTTTTTTTTCATTGGCTTGGTCTAAAAACGTGCTAATTGGAATTATATTCTATTCATAATACGATCAAAACAATAAAACATATCAATATGATCATTAATTAAAAAAAAATATGAAAGCTTAAAGGGATAATGTCACTGTAGCACATGAAACTTTTTACATTTGGCTAATTTGGTCCTTAATGTTTTTTTTGGTACATTAGACCAGTAAACTCGTAATTGACCTTTTAATTACACCATTTTATCAACTTTTAGAAGGTTTCCCGGTTATACGATGCCATTTTGTCAATTAATCTATACTGCCATGTGAGATATGCCACGTCAATTAATGATATACGAAGCTTAAAGCCTTTCGTTTTCAGCTATCGAACTTCACTCGTCTTCGTCTTCATTATTCAGCTGTAAAAGAAACTGATTTAGGGTTTGTGAAGCATTCCTGTGATCGAGCTGAAAGAAACAAAGAAGTCATAGCAATGGCACAATCGGAACCTAATGGACTGTTTGCGATGGTGGAACTCAACTACCAAGGGGTATTTAATCGAAATCCTTTCTCTTACACTGGTGGTGTTGAAACCATCTTCAATGATGTTGACTTTTCTTCTATGACTTATTCTGAGTTTGTGACCTTCTGCGAACGTTTCATGCATGAAGAGTGTAAAAAATTTTACTACTGTGAACTAGACATGTCCCTGATGGAAGGGCTTAATCCCATTTCAGATGATGTGAAATATTCTGCTTTTAGTTTTTATGCTTATGGAACAGATGGTGTAATTTTGCTTTATGTGGATCATATTGGGGTTGGTGGTGATGGGTGGCATGATGATGAATATAACGATGATGATGAACATGAGTCTTGTATTGATGGTGAAAATGAAGACAACATATATGAACTTAGAAATGTTGCCTTTGAATTTAATGAGGATGTAGTGCATATGAATAGGATATCAAATGATCCTTTCTTGAATAAGTTATGTGTTGATGATGAGGATGAAAACAACATTGTAGACGATGACAATGGGAGAGAAATTGAAGTTAACATACAAACTCATTTCATATTTAATGAGCTATTACATTGGAAAAAACAAAAACCAATTCTAGGGATGAGATTTAAGGGTCCAAGGCAAGTAAAATAAATGTTGTGTAACTATGTTGTAGCTAATGGATATCAATTGTGTTTTGAAAAAAATGATAAGACAAGAATTTTGGTGAGGTGTAGCAAGGGTGCTTGCACATTTAGATTATGGGCTTCCTGGATGAGTGATGAAGAGAGTTTCCAAATCAAGTCACTAAAATCTGATCATAATTGTGCTAGGAACTTCAAGTTTGGATCATTGGTGACATATGCATGGATTGGAAGTCACTATACCAAAGAGATTGTAGAAAGTCAGAAAATAAGTCTAAGGAAGCTTAGGTTAAAGGTAATGGCTAAGTTTGGTATCCAAGTTAGTATGGGGCAATGTAGAAGAGCAAAGTAGTATGCATTGAAACTTGTTGAAGGTAACCTTGTTGAACATTATGGTAAGCTATGGTCATATGGTCATGAGATTTTAAGGACAAATCTTGGGTCAACTGTGAAACTAGATATGGAGGATGGTCCAGATGGAAAGAAATATTTTAGCAAGTTCTATTGTTGTTTTCAAGGAGTTAAACAAGCTTGGATTGAAGGGTGTAGAAGGGTAATTGGTCTTGATGGATGTTTTCTTAAAGGTGTTTGTAAGGGAGAATTGCTTTGTGCTATTGGGAGGGATGCAAATGACAAGATATATCCTATTGCTTTGGCAGTGGTTAATGTGGAGACCAAGCAAAATTCGAAGTGGTTTCTAGAGCTTCACATTGATGATCTACACTTGAATTTAGGCAATGGTTTCAGTTTAACGTCAGACCAACATAAGGTTAGTATTTTACATAGTAATGCATTTATGTTAATTTTACACTATCTGAATTAAACCTTTTTACTACTACAAGATTTGATAGAGGCTGTTAAAGAGTTGCTACCATATGTAGAGCACAGGCAGTGTGCTAGACATATTTGCCAGAATTTGCAGAAGAGATTTACTGGTGCCATATATCATACCTTGTGTTGGAGAGCATCTAAAGCCACAACTGAGAATGCTTTTAAAGTTGTGATAAAAGAAATCGAGACATTGAACCCAGATGCCGATCAATATCTCATGGAGAAAGATCCTAAAACATGGTCAAGAGCTTTCTTTCAAACTGGAAGGTGTTGTGATGCAGTTGAAAATGGGTTCTCATAAAGTTTTAATGCTATAATAGTAGATGCCAGGAAGAAGCCCATAATAACCATGTTAGAGGATATAAGATTATACATGATAGACAGAATCTACAACATGAAATTAAAGGGACAACAATGGGGAAATCAAATTTGTCCAGTGATAAGGGATAAGGTGAATTTGCTTAAAAAAGCTCAAAGGCATTATCTGATGGGTTTTAGCCATAAGAACTTTCCTATGTGCGCATGCAAAACCCTAATGCTTGGATCTAGGCTTTCTAATAAACATGCTTTTGAATCCAATATTTCTAATGGCTAATTAGGTCAAATAACAATATTGAAATAGAGCTAGAATCATACCTTTGAATTCCTTGTTGATCTTGTTTGTCTTGGAGCTTCCAGAGTCACAATTGTCACTCCTCTAATGGCTTACAAACACCAATAGCAAGCAAGATGATTTAGGAGAGAGGAGAGGGGAGGAATTCGACCAGAGGTTCCTTGCTTAAGGTTGTGTGTCGAATTCCCTCATCCATAGGGGCTATTTATACTATTAGACTCCTTAAGGGTTTCACCCTAAACCCTAATCGGATAATCTTCTCTTAAGGCTATCCAAATCCATTCCATAGATAACCCTATGGACGATTTGAGCTATCCTAAAGCTCTTAGAATCCGTCCAAGGTATATCCTAATGGATTTACAGTCTAAAGTCTAACTATCAAACAATTGACAATTTATACCCTCTTATTTAATTAATCTCTTTAAGTCACCAAATTAATACCAATTAATTTATGACTTATATTAATCAAATAGTTAAATATTATTTCTTACAATATTTACTCTCTCTTAATAAATCATCCTTCAAGTTACTATGGTGAAGGCAACCCAAAAGGACCATGCACCACTGAATATAGTTATAGCCTTAGACACTATTCCAACAGTCTCCCACTTGAATAAGTCTAGTAACTATACAAGTACAATACGGTTTGCAATCGTAGCTCTCAAAGACGCTGTCAACTCTGATCTAATCAATCTTGTCCTTTAGATAAGGGATTGTACAGTCCTCTATTAGATATCATGCTGACAATCCTATGGAATGGTTAGTCTAGCATTTAGATTTCTCGATCTTCGATTTATTTGACATAGAACTCAATCGAACACATCAATTCAGTTCTGACCGGGCCCGGCACATAAGTCAAATCAAATCATCGAGTGGCCAAGATATCTCTTCTATCCTCTTAGGATAAAATTTACAGATAAACTTCGACTTATATGCATTTACTTATTCATTAACCAACTATACACAACAATGCGTTTTATAACATCAAGTTACTGATGCGTTTTCGCATTATCAATGCACAATCAATTAACAAATAATAAACCATATATCTAGGTTTTAAGACCATATGATATTATCGTCTTGCGATCACCTTTATATCGTATTCCATAAAGTGATTCCAGCAAGCGCGGGTTTATTCCAATGCTCAAAACCAGTTCATAAGCACTCATGAACGTTGCAGCAACCCTTGCTATGTCTAACACCATTTAGACATTCTACACACCAATTCATGACAATCTTCATTCATATCTACTCCCAACATATGAACGATTGTGGACAATTTGAATAATTCGATTATCCTATAAACTAATTATTCTGGAAGTCAAAACATGCAAAGTGAAACAATAGTTAAACAATTAACATGTGACAGTAACTTTACTCATAAATAAAACTCCTTTATTTAATCATCAAATGTTAATTACATTTATCTATTATACGTTTCTAATACTATCTAATCTAACTAATATCATCCTTCAGCCCAATACTCCTAGCATGCTGCAAGTGCTTAACCCTACTCAGTCCCTTCGTAAGCGGATCTGCTGGGTTATCTTCTGATGATATCCTCTTCACTACGAGTTGTCCTTCTTCTACACGATGTCTAATGAAGTGATATTTTCTGTCGATATGTCGAGATCTACCATGATCCCTCGGTTCCTTGGTCAAGGCAACCGCACCTTCGTTATCACAGAAAATCTCCATGGGCTCCTTTATGGCCGGCACAACTCCAAGATCACCGATGAAGTTCTTCAGCCATATTGCCTCCTTCGACGCTTCGCTCGCTGCGATGTACTCTGATTCGCACGTTGAATCAGCTACGGTTTCCTGCTTGGAACTTTTCCATGTCACTGCTCCTCCATTTAGGGTAAAGACCCAGCCCGACTGCGAACGGTAGTTGTCCCTGTCGGTCTGAAAGCTGGCGTCACTATACCCTCGCACCTTCAAGTCATCACTCCCTCCAAGGACTAAGAACCATTCTTTCGTCCTCCGAAGGTACTTAAGGATGTTCTTCACCGCAATCCAATGTGCTTTGCCAGGGTTCCCTTGATATCTGCTAACCATGCTCAAAGCGAAGGCTACATCAGGGCGAGTACAAGTCATAGCGTACATGATTGAGCCAACTGCGGAAGCGTATGGTACTCGGCTCATTTCTGCTATCTCAGCTTCGGTACTCGGACTTTGAGTCTTACTCAACTTGGCATTTCCTTGTATCGGTAGTTCTCCCTTCTTTGAGTTTTCCATACTAAAACGTTTTAGTACCTTCTCCAAGTAAGTATTCTGACTAAGTCCAATTAGTCTCTTACTTCTTTCTCTTACTATCCTTATTCCCAAAATGTAAGAAGCCTCTCCGAGGTCCTTCATAGCGAAGCACTTCCCGAGTCAGGACTTAACCTCCTGCAGAGTCGGGATGTCGTTTCCTATGAGTAATATGTCATTGACATATAGAGCGAGGAAGCTTACTATACTCCCACTGGCTTTGACTATCCAAACTCTTTGACTTTCTCATCGAAGCAAAGATTCCATCTGCGAGACGCTTGCTTAAGTCCATAAATAGACTTCCCAACCTTACACACTCTATTCGGATGCTTCGGATCCACAAACCCCTCTGGCTGAGCCATGTAAACATCCTCAGCCAACTTTCCGTTAAGGAAAGCGGTCTTGACATCCATTTGCCAAATCTCATAATCATGAAATGCGGCAATTGCTAGCATCACTCTAATAGATTTAATCTTCGCAACTGGTGAGAAGGTCTCATCATAGTCAACTCCGGGAGTTTGAGTAAAGCCCTTCGCAACCAATCGCGCTTTATATGTGTGTACGTTCCCATCCACGTCGGTCTTCTTCTTGAAGATCCACTTGCACCCTACGGTCTTACGTTCGGGCACGTAATCAACCAAATTCCAAACTTGGTTATCGTACATGGATTGGATCTCGCTATCCATCGCCTCTTTCCATTTCGCAGACTCCGGGCCTGCCATGGCTTCCTTATAGCTATTAGGTTCATCAAGATTTACTAGTGTACCATCACTAATATACGTGTCCCCTTCGGTAGTAATATGAAAACCATAAAACTGGGGTTGAACTCTAACTCTATCGGAACGTCTAAGAGGTAAGGATTCGTCAATCGGTTCAACCGGAGTTTCCTCCTCGGGTTGAATGCCAGCGGTAGAGGTTCCTTCATCTATCGATTCTTGAATCTCTTCAAGTTCGATTTGCCTCCCACTGTCTCCTTGGCTTATGAGTTCTCGCTCTCGGAAAACTCCTCTCCTCGCAACAAAGATAACATTATCTTTCGGTCTATAGAAGAGATATCCAAAGGAAGTTTGCGGGTAGCCGATGAAAATACATCGCTCACTTCGAGGTTCAAGCTTGTCGTGAGTATCTCGTCTTACGAAAGCCTCGCAACCCCAAACCTTGATATGTGCCAACGAGGGAGCTTTCCCCGTCCACATCTCGTGAGGTGTTTTGGCAACCTTCTTAGTAGGGACTCGGTTAAGGATATGGGCGGCAGTCTCTAAGGCATACCCCCAAAAGAAGATAGGTAGTGAAGCACGACTCATCATAGAGCGAACCATATCCAATAAGGTTCGATTACGCCTTTCTGCCACACCATTCAACTGCGGTGTCCTAGGAGGCGTCAATTGCGAAACTATTCCACACTCCTTGAGATAATCGTGGAATTCAAGACTTAGGTACTCTCCTCCTCGATCGGATCGAAGCATCTTGATTTTCCTGCCCAATTGATTCTCCACTTCATTCTTGAACTCTTTGAACTTTTCAAAGGTTTCTGACTTTTGCTTGATTAAATAGATATACCCATATCTACTATAATCATCGGTAAAGTCACATAGAAGCGGTTCCCATCCTTCGTGGTTGATCTAAAGGTCCACATACATCGGTATGTATTAGGTCTAATAGTCCCTCACCCCTTTCACAAGTACTCGTGAAGGGTGACTTAGTCATCTTTCCAAGTAAACAAGACTCGCATGTGTCATCTTCCCTAAGGTCGAATGACTCCAACACTCCATCCTTTTGGAGTTGGGCTATGCGTTTCTTGTTGACATGTCCAAGACGACAATGCCACAAGGATGCTTTATCCATACTAGTGGAAGAATCAATATTCAAAACATCATTTCCTAAGTTATCAACAATCATAACAGTTTCATATATTCCATTACATGGTATAGCTTCAAAGTAAAAGACACCATTTAGATAAGCCAAAATAGAACCATTCTCATTATTAAAAGAAAATCTAAATCCTTGTCTATATAAACCATGAAATGAAATGATGTTTCTAGCCATTTCTGGCGAATAGCAACAATTGTTCAAATCTAAAACTAAACTATTCTTAAGCACTAAAGAATACACTCCAATCTTGGTCACAGGCGACGATCTTCTGTTCCCCATGATTAGATTGATCCTTCCTTGCTCCACATCCCTACTTCTTCTTAGTCCCTGCACATTAGAACAAATGTGATAACCACAACCGGTGTCAAGAACCCAAGAAATAGCATGATTAGAATCGTTAGATTTGATTGCATATATACCTGCGAAAGATGGCTTGATCTTTCCTTCCTTGATGGCTTGCAGGTAATCCGGGCAGCTTCTCTTCCAATGTCCTATCTTGTGGCAGTGGTGGCACTCTGCCTCCTTCGGGTTAGAGCAGGGCTTAGAGGGATCAACTTTGGTCCCACTAGAAGAGGAACCATCTCGGGCTTTCACCTTTCGATAGTTATTTGAAGAAGCTTTCCTCTTCTTTCCCTTCCCTTGACCAATAGCCAAGACAGGAGCAGCGGATGGATTGGGAGTTGGTGCAACAGACTTGTCCTTGAAATTGCTCTCAGCAACCCTCAAGAGACCTTGGAGTTTACTTAGAGTGACCTCCTCTTTGTTCATGTGGTAGGTCATCCTAAATTGATTGTACATCGGAGGCAAAGAGTGAAGCACCATGTCGATCGCCAAGTCTTCGCCGAAGTCAACATTTAACTTGCGAAGGCGGTCGACATACCTTTGCATCTTTTGCAAGTGCACGGTAAGAGATTCTCCATGACCCATCTTAGCGGAAATCATGTTAGTGAAATCTCGTAACGCTCTTGTCTCGCGTTTTGGTGGTACCTCTCCAACAAGTCTTGATGCATCTCGTATGGATACATGTCCTCGTAGGACTTTTGGAATTCGGAGTTCATGGTGGCGATCATGATGCAATGTACTTTCGTTGCATCTCGCTCATGAGTTTCAAAGGCGGTGATTTCGGCGGGAGTAGCAACTTCGGGGTTGATTTTCTCGAGCTTCTCATCGAGGACATACTCTTTATCCTCATAGCGAGCAATGGTGCGAATGTATCTTATCCATTCGCCAAAGTTCGTTCCATCGAAGGTGACCTTTTGGCAAAGGCTCATCAACGTGAAAGAACTAGCAGCAGCGTTGTTTGCGTTTGACATCTATAGAAAGGACAAAGATAGATTAGAACAAGAATCCCTAATTATCACCCAATAAGAAAAATTAGGGCTAGGATCCAACAATAACATTTACATACTAGAAAAGGGATGCCGTAATCTAATGCAAATAAATTGAAGGTAAGTGAATGACGATTCACTAATTCTCCATCACAAAACTTAAACTATTAGTCCTAAGTGTTTTTGAGAATTCCTAGGTTCGGATGAGATTCATTGAACTATTCAATGGCATGTTTAAATCTCGATATGCCCCTCTTGTTTGTGACTGGGATGCCGAGGATCACAAAGCGGGTGTGAATTACCATGCAAATTCACATGGTGCCTTCATTGTAACGATCACCTATTCGATGTGCCGGTAAACCACACACGCTCCATCGAACTATGATGAACAATGAATCACCCTTTGCCACCTTCGCTTAGAACCAATTAGTGTGCCGGTAAACCACACACGCTCCACTAACATCTTAGCAAGGTGCAAAGTGTAATTTCATGGGATTGCATCAATTCACTTTTCCTAAAGTAACTAAGATTGGGAAATTTTAAAAAAATTTAGTTACTTCGTATTTCTTATTATACTTTTAATGAGAGGATGAGGTTGCCCTATCCTACCCGTTCGGCTAACGACCCTCCACCAATCAAGCAAGCGGTGGGTGTGAGTGTACACCCATTAAGCGCCATTTTATAGGCCGCAACCTTATACCCACCTTATAGATCGGCTTCGTGAATGAGGCCTACTAGCGGTAAGACTAGCATTTAGTTATACATATATATATATATATATATACTATATATATATCATATAAGTATAGGGTTGCATTTTAAACTTTTCAAAATCTAGGGTTTGAAATTTAAGTTGTCTAAATTAAAACTTTTAATCACAAATATAAATTTCAAAACTTTAGGGTAGGTTTTAAACATTTAAAACATGAAGGATCAAATAACAAATAATTCCAATTAACAATTAATATTCTAATTATCTTTATTTGATTTATCTTGATTTCTTTGAAGATAATTACCAAAATAATTAATCATTATCATATAAGGAAATTAAATATTTATTAGATGATAAATATCTTTAATTAGATCAAGATAATAGTCATATTTATCAAAAAATCGGATTTACATTGATCTAATATGATTAAGGTAAGTTTCCATAAGATAATTATGAAAAATCCCGAATCTGGCCATTCCTGACGCCTGGACTCGCCGAGTGCACAAGGGACTCGCCGAGTCAGGCCTACTCGACGAGTCCACCTTGGAACTCGACGAGTCAGTGACTCAAAACCCAAAAAATCGAATTTTGCAGGTTTGTTTCAGTTATTCAAGCAACAATTTAAAGAAAACCAATCTAGGCTCTGATACCACTGATGGGTTTTAGCCATAAGAACTTTCCTATGTGCGCATGCAAAACCCTAATGCTTGGATCTAGGCTTTCTAATAAACATGCTTTTGAATCCAAGACTTCTAATGGCTAATTAGGTTAAATAACAATATTGAAACAGATCTAGAATCATACCTTTGAATTCCTTGTTGATCTTGTTTGTCTTGGAGCTTCTAGAGTCACAATTGTCACTCCTCTAATGGCTTACAAACACCAATAGCAAGCAAGATGATTTAGGAGAGAGGAGAGGGGAGGAATTCGACCAGAGGTTCCTTGCTTAAGGTTGTGTGTCGAATTCCCTCATCCATAGGGGCTATTTATACTATTAGACTCCTTAAGGGTTTCACCCTAAACCCTAATCGGATAATCTTCTCTTAAGGCTATCCAAATCCATTCCATAGATAACCCTATGGACGATTTGAGCTATCCTAAAGCTCTTAGAATCCGTCCAAGGTATATCCTAATGGATTTACAGTCTAAAGTCTAACTATCAAACAATTGACAGTTTATACCCTCTTATTTAATTAATCTCTTTAAGTCACCAAATTAATACCAATTAATTTATGACTTATATTAATCAAATAGTTAAATATTATTTCTTACAATATTTACTCTCTCTTAATAAATCATCCTTCAAGTTACTATGGTGAAGGCAACCCAAAAGGACCATGCACCACCGAATATAGTTATAGCCTTAGACACTATTCCAACATTATCAGGTACTACCAAGTGGATTAAACCAGTTTGAGGTAAGGGGAGCAATAGATGCATATGAGGTGGACTTAGAAAGGAAAACATGCTCATGTAGGTTGTGGCAATTGAATGGATATGGATGTGCTCATTCTGTAGCTAGCATATCCTTTCTTAATAGGGATGTAGAAGCCTATGTAGACAACATGTTTAGCACAACCACATTTAGAAAAGAATACAATTACAGAATTTCTCCCATGAATAGCAGTGACATGTGGCCAGAGACAAACTATACTCCACCATTGCCTCCTATTAATAGAAGGATGCCTGGTAGGCCAACTACTAAGAGGAAGAAATCCACTACAGAGAATATAGGAACACACAGGGTTTCTAAGGCTGGAAAGAAAATAATATGTAGTATTTGCAAGGAGATAGGTCACAACAAGGCCACTTGTCCATAGAGAAGGCCCCAAAAGTTAAATGTGAAGAAACAGAAGAAACAAAAAGTATGTGTGAAGCAAAATGCAAGACAGGTAAAACAATTTAAAATATAAGATTAATTACATATAATTTGTTACTAACATAATTATATCATGCCATGTAGGGTAGTAGAAGTGAACCACAACAACATGAAGAGGTTGAAATGACTCCAATTGAGATGGATACTACTCAAAATGATATTCAAGTTGCTCCTACTGATGTTGAACCTAGTAGTGCAGGGGATTTTAGTCATTTTATGCAATTTACTCCACCTAGATGTTATGAAGGTGATGAGGGTGTTATGGATGAGTAAGTTGATGTGGTTGAGGAAGTTGTTGTGGTTGAGCAAGCTGTTCAAGATGAGGAGACTGAGGAGGTTGATCCTGTTTTCCAAGTTGATAATGTAAATGTTCAGGAGGTTGATGAGGTTAATCCTAATGCCCAAGTTGATAATGGTAATGTTCAGGAGGTTGCTCCTGTAAGTCAAGTTCAGCAGGTTAGTGTTAGGCCAATTTCATAGATTTTGAAGAGGATAAGGAGAAGAAAGTTAGAGAGAATATTGAAGTTGAAATTAGGCAAAACAATTGGTGGTGTTGATGATCCAGGAAATTCGAAGGGAAAAGCTCTTGTAATTGATTAGTGTTTATTGTAATTTGTGTTTCAAGTTTATGTAATGGGATGATGGTAAATTGTATTTAAAGTTTATGTAATAGGATGATGGTAATTTATATTTAAAGTTTATGTAATAGGATGTTGGTAATTTATATTTAAGTATGTATGACATTAAAGGGTATTTTAGTCATTTAAGTATGTACGAAAGAAAAGGGTGTTTTGGTCATTTAAGTATGTATGAAAGAAAAAGGGTATTTTGGTCATTTAAGTACGTATGAAAGAAAAAGGGTATTTTGGTCATTTAAGAATGTATGAAAGAAAAAGGGTATTTTGATCATTTAATTATATATGAAAGAAAAAGGGTATGTTGGTCATTTATTTATCTATAACATATAAGGGTATGTAGGTCATTCATTTATGTATGCAAAAAATGGGTAATTCGGTCATTTAAGTATGTATGACAGAAAAGGGTATTTTGGTCATTTAAGTATGTATGACAGAAAAGGGTATGTTGGTCATTTATTTATGTATGACTGAAAAGGGTATGTTGGTCATTTATTTACGTATGACATGAAGTATGAAAGTATGTTACCATTTTAAGTAAAATCATGACATTTGGCTTTGAATATTTATGCATGGAAAAAATTGGAATAATGTTCATGCATGGGGATGTTTTATATGGTCCCGGCTATGGTTTTTTAATGGCTTCACAAGTCCCATTTTTTCATTATTAAAACACTACAAATGGTCCCCATACACATAGTGTACTTCCACATGGACCACTCCCTAATTTGTTCCCAAATTTAAAACATGCACAACAACCAATCTAATTAAATATATTTGTTGGGAATATAGACCATGCATATGTTTGATAAACATCATCTGATTATACAAAATGCCCTACAATTGGGACTTTGAATATTTTTTTACATTACTTATCATATGCCCTTTCATTAGGGACTTACCACCTTACAACATCAACACATTAAGGTTAATAACCCCAACTTATAACTAAAACCAGCTTCAATACATATAAAATGCCCATAATTACTGTGTTTCTAGTCTTCCTTTACAAAAAATACAAGGGATCCCAAAAAAAACAAAAGCTTACACTAACCAACCAACTAACTACATTGACCCCCCCTAACTTCAAAACACATAGGGCCAAGCAAGCAAACAACAGGGCAACTATCATCCTGTACCTGCCTATTGCCTTCCTTGCATCATGAACTTCTTTCTCACTCTTTGCCACCTTATACTGCTCCTGTGACAGCAGAAACTTCACTTCAGCAATCCTCCTCAATTTGTTCATCTCAGATAGTTCATCTTTGGCATCCAGTTTCTGCTTTAGAGAGTATAACAGGTTTTTGTAGTACCCGTCTGCCTGTTCTTCATCTTTCCATTCAAAGAAGCTACATTTCCTCAACCTAGTCTATAAAAAGGCAATAAAATTAGGGTTTGACTGACAATCACAAATCAACTACCTTTAATGTACCAGCGAAATGGGTTTTATTCACAGTGATCGTCAAGAAGCAAATACAATTAGTGTTTTTAACAGATGAAACAAAATACAAATACACCAGTATCGTCTTTACAGAAAGAAACAACACATCAAACCAAAAAATACTAACTTATCAAAATCGGAACCTACCATACTTTTTTGACAATTCCAGAATCGCCTCCCACGGTTTGTTATCTTCCAACAGGTTCGTTCTTTAGCTGGAATGCCACAATCACAAACCTTTACCCCTTCTTGCGACTGAACATGAGTGACTTGTAGCTGATTCCTTGACGTCGATGAGGTTGAAGACATTCTTCTTTAGGATGGAAATAGTCGGGGAGGGAGAAGTCTTTAACTTTTCAGAGAAGGGTGAGTAAAGATTTAAAGGAGGTCCGAATGAGGGTTTGAATTAATAAGCCTATATCGACAACTGGACTACTTCGACACATAAGCTTCCCACGTAAGCTTATTGGACACATCAGCGGCCACAAAGGGTGGAAATCCCAAGCTCAAAAACGGATTTCCATGATAAAGGTCCAACCTTTGGACCCAAAATATACCAAAACTTCCATAACTCTAGATCTAACATATGAAGAAGAAAGTTCAGTGCTTTATACCTCTTTTGGATGCCAAATGAAGAAATAATCCCAGATTCTTGAGCTCAAGATACTCAAGTTCTTCTTCTTCCACTTCTCTTCTTCTCCTTCTTCACAAAATAAGCTCAAAGATCAAACAAACACAAGCAAAGAGTAAAGGGGACGAACTAGCGTTTCTCTGGGTTGAATGATATGAGGAGGACAAATGGGAGGCTATAATGGGGTTTAAATACGTCTCAACCCTTAAAATTAGGGTTTGCGACCTGGTCGCGTACGCTGGGCATACCATAAGGTACGTTGTGCGTACGCTCATCCTCCCTGCGTTTCATTTAAGCATTACGCCCAACGTACAAGGGGTTACGCCCCACATACGGCTTATGGGATGCTTACACCTCAGCCCAAAATAAAAGGCCCACTCTCAAGTACAATTCTATTATAGCCCAAAAAAATAAACTTGAGAATTAAATAAATTTATACCTCGGAAGACGATCGTTACAATTATGGTTGTAGATAACATAGGAAATGATGTGTTGTGTGTGGATTCTTCCAATGGTTTGGATAAAGCATCCTTATGGCATTGTCGTCTTAGACATGTCAACAAGAAACTCATAGCCCAACTCCAAAAGGATGGAGTGTTGGAGTCATTCGACCTTGGGGACGACGACGTGTGCGAGTCTTGTTTACTTGGAAAGATGACCAAGTCACCCTTCACTGGCACTTGTGAAAGGGGTGAGGGTTTATTGGATCTCATACATACCGATGTGTGTGGGCCCTTTAGATCCACCACAAGGGATGCGAACCGCTTCTATGTGACTTTCACCAATGATTATAGTAGATATGGGTATATTTACTTAATCAAGCACAAGTCAGAAACCTTTGAAAAGTTCAAAGAGTTTAAACAAGAAGTGGAGAATCAATTGGGCAGGAAAATCAAGATGCTTCGATCCGATCGAGGAGGAGAGTACCTAAGTCTTGAATTCCACGACTATCTCAAGGAATGCAGAATAGTTTCACAATTGACGCCACCTAGGACACAACAGTTGAATGGTGTGGTTAAGAGGCGTAATCCAAACCTGTTGGACATGGTTTGTTCCATGATGAGTCGTGCTTCACTACCTATCTCATTCTGGGGGTATGCCATAAAGACTGCTGCCTATATCCTTAACTTAGTCCCTACAAAGAAGGTTACCAAAACACCTCACGAGATGTGGACAGGGATAGCTCCCTCGTTGGCACATATCATGTAACCCCCCGTTCTTAAAGTATTTAATTATGAGTCCCTGAGACTTAAGAGAAAGGGTAATTTTGGTCCTTTTGCGGGAAATGGGTTTTATCCGAGAAGGTTTGGTCTGGTGTGTGTGTGTGTTGATACAAGCATAGGGCTTCTCGCCACCCTCGTGTGAATGTAAAGTTTATTGAGAACGGGTTTAGAGTTGAGGAGTTACGGTGTTTCAAAGGTGATATCAATTATAGCTCCTTAGGGGTAATCAGAGAAAAAGGCCCATGCATGCATGAATTCATGTTTGAGTTGGTTGGGTACGCCCAGCGTAAGCTGGATGTACGCCCAACGTAGTGAGGGAAGAAACGTGGGGGGCAAGGACGAGTACACCCAACGTACTAGAGGTACGCCCAACGTACTCTCAGAATCCCCAAACCCTAATTTTAAGGGCAACCACTATATAAGGAACATAATGGTTCCCTCCTAAGCCTCCATAGACACTCTTTTACCCCAGAAACCCTAGATATCCGTATTTCCTCCATTGTTGGGTGTGTTTAGTCTTGGAAAGCTTATATTCGCAAAAGAGAAGCTAGAAGAAGAAAGGAGAAGTTGTCAAAGAAGGATAGGAACGATTGGAGCTTATAGATCTGGAAAGATATCATCCTTTAGAGCCTATTTGAGGTATAAAGCTTCTTGCTTGACATTCATATTGTGTAGATCTATGTATTGTGAAGCTTTGACATCATTCTTGTCCCAAAAGCCCTCATCTTGTTGCATGTTTTGAGTTGGTCAAGATTATTTGTCCTTTCAGACCTTAGGATGGGTCTTGAGTGAGAAAAATGAGGTCCCAAGGGTTGTGGTTGTTCCATGTGTGAGATAAGTAGGTCTTATTGGATTAAGACTTTGGATTAAGAGCTTTATGGATGTCCCAAGTGATAAAGTTTAAGACTTTATGAATTCTAATCATATTTGGCCTAAGGATCTGGAGTTTGGGCTTAAGAGCTTAAACCATTAAGTCGTTATGTGATGTTGTTGAGCAGTGAGGTTACGCCCCGCGTAACCTGTGAGTACGCCCAGCGTAACGGGCTAGTGTCCCGATCCCATATTGCGAACATTGCTGTACGCCCCGTGTACCAAGGAGGGTACGCCCAGCGTACTCCTCCTGTTGGATTTCCATTTTGGGCCTTAGAGTTTGGGATGTTATTGGGCTATTGCTTTATGGGCCATGACTGGAAATTTATGGATAGAGTATTTTGGGCCCAATTATTATTATGGACCTTGGATCTAGGCCTATTTGGTGAGGTGGGCCCAATTTAGTAAATTGGGCCTTTGCTTCGGACTTTGGTTTTTGGGCCATTAGTGGTGTAGCACCTGGTTCCTGGTATGTAAATCTTAATTGAGTATTTTCCTTTTTAAGCCTTGGACTCGGCGAGTCATAGGTCCGACTCGCCGAGTAGGGACGGGACCCCGGGATGCGTTTAAGTTGGCGACTCGGTGAGTCCATATCCTGGACTCGGCGAGTCACCGCTGTTGGATGAAACCCTAAGTTTCTGGGATTTCCACCCTATTTAATCCCCCTTTTAGCCCCAGGC